ATGGGACGGAGGTGGTACATTATACACCACTCGTCCCTTTCAAAAAAAAATACACCATTTGTCTCTATATAAAAGGCTCCAGGCACACGTCTTTAGGCGGATTGTGTTCAACCTCCCCTTTTTACCCTTCAAATTTGTGGGGGTAATTTTAAAGTCACCAACTCACAACAGTACACCGCAATCTTTTCAGACAAGTGGTTATTTGTTCTTATTAATCGGCTGATGCCAACCCAAAAAAGGAGGGAATTATTCTCTTTCATTTATGCATTGTCATCATTACATTCAAAATTTCCCCCAAAACCAACATTAAGAAGGCAACTGGTCAGCTTAGTAACAACATATTACAGCAGTGTGTCAAGCCAAAAATAGCATAAAGTTCTGAGTTACAACTTGCTACAAGATCAAAGTACAAAAAACAGTCAAATGAAGATATAAGAAGTGTCCAAACTCTTATTTTTCAAAGTGAAGGGCAAGATGACGGAAAGAATGGTTATGGCAGCTTGACAAAAATAGCCAAGCAGTTCGGGATGCGCCAGAAGGCTATATCAACAATATGGCATATCAACAAGCATCTGGAATTCCCTTAAACCCAAAGCTCACGATGAAGGGAAAAGTTGGTAAGAGAGGCATATATATTGACCTGTCAAAAATGTTGCATATTCCTTTGAGCAACAGAAGGAATCTCATGTCACTCTTTACAGCTTCAGGACATCCAATATTATGTATGCACAAACTCAAACAAAAAGGTCGGTTCAAAAGTCACACATCAACTATCAATCCCCATCTTACATACTTGAATAAAACACAGAGGTTAAAATGGGTCATCTCTAACATTGAGGATGACACAATAACAAATGCACCCCAGTATAAAGGCATGTTTGACTTGATACATGTGGATGAGAAATGATTTTACATAACATAGGCATCACAGAGGTACTACCTACGTCTGAATGAAGCTGAGCCTCGTGGGTCATGTCAATCCAGAAGATTCATCACTAAAGTGATGTTCCTGTGTGCAGTTGTCAGACCAATTATACATGCAAATGGTAAAGTGATTTTTGATGGGAAAATTGGAATATTATCATTTACTACAATGCAACCAGCTAAGAGAAACAATAAAACCATGGAAGCTGGCACACTTGAGGAGAAAGCTATTGTTTCAATTACAAAGGATGCTTACAAGGAACGCCCTCTCAGTTTTGCATTGCCTGGTATCAAAACTAAGTGGCATATAGGTGTGAGCAATCATATTTACATACAACAAGACAATGTAAGACCTCATATTAGTCCAAGTGATATCAACTTCATGAAAGAAGCCACCTCAAATGGGTTTAACATTGAACTAATATGTCAGCCTCCTAATAAACCTGATCTAAATGTGTTGGATCTAGGGTTTTTTAGAACTATTCAGTCACTGCAACAGACCACACCAAGAAACTCAGTTCGTGATCTATCTCATAGTGGGGGTAGAAAATGCTTATGCTCAGTTCAATCCTATTGCGTTGAATCGTAAGTTTGGTTGCCCCTACAATTGTGTATGAATGAAATTTTGAAAGTCGGGGGGGACAATAACTACAAGGTGCCACGTGTAGGAAAAAATGCACTGGAAGCTCAAGGTAACCTACCAATCCGTTTCAAGGCATAATCCAATACATTGTTGGAGGTGACTAAAAAATCAGGAGAATGAACTTTGATAGACCGGTGTGGAAGTGTTTTTTGGGGACTGAACAAGTAAAGTATTCACATTTTTTTACTTTTTGGAATACTTGACGTGTTCAGTCCATTAAAAAATGGGTGCATATGTATTGGAAGGCATGAATGACATTTTTGGATGGATTGATAAACCAGTGCAACAATTAAGATATCACAAGACTGAAACTATTTTAAGGTTGTGAACATGGACAATGTTCAATTTTTTTACTTTTTGAAATATTAGACATGTTCAAGGATAGTTTTTTTGGATATATTACTAAACAAACTAGAGAACATGTGGTTGTAATGCATTTCATGATACCTACACAAATGTGAGTAATGCAACCTTTAGTTTTGTATTTGGATTGTAAACAACGCCTGCCACACATCCCCTATGGTCTCATAGGGTTTCCCCCGGTGACTCAGTAGGGGTGAAGCCACGTAGCAAGCACACATCACCATCACAAACCAATTACAGCCATCTCAAAACCAATTACATGTCGTTCATCATAGAAGACATTCACACTACAAACCCCAATGGTCTCCTAGGGTTCCCCCTGGTGACTCATTAGCACTAGAACCAACTTCATTAACATCACACTCACCATTATGCACATGTCATTGACCCCATACAATCAGACACACAAAGATGACTATGCATGCACACATTGACCTGGGGCCTCATACCAATCATCGCACTCACTGTCATGCACACATTGGCATTGAAATTGATTCTCTTATAGGGACAGAGGGAGTAGTAATTTACACTGACACATAAACATATAGGGACAGAACATTGACCTCAGACAAGCATCACACACTCAACATTATGCACACACTGGCCTAAGGCCTCATACCAACCACAAGGACAGATCACTGACATCATACAAGTACAGACAGTAGAATAAATATGAAAGTACTGACCCGAGGCCTCATAGCAACACAAGCACACTTCACAAATTCATCATTGACCTCATACGAGAATCACACACTCAACACTACGCACACACTGGCCTGAGGACTCATATCATCCACAGGGACAGATCATTGACCACAGAAAAGAACACACAGTAGGATGAATATGAAAGTACTAGCCTGAGGCCTCATAACAACACAAACATACTTCACATTTCATCACTGACCTCATACAAACATCAAAAGCACAGACAACAATTTATCATTGATCTCAGACTGCATGCAACAATCACAGATTACCTAAGCCTGTTAGGGTTTCCCCCGATGACTCGTAACTGGTAATGTAAGGTAAGCATAACTAGTAGGAGAAAGGAGAGGACATTTATTTATCAGGGAAATAACCAAGGAGCATGAGGGCAATCCACTTATTCGTGCAGAGTTGCATGTCAGGAGGCCGGTAATTCTGCAGTTCTGCATCAAGGAGCACTGTCTCAGGCTCAATTGTAGGACATGCTTTCTCAGTTTTGTCAAACTGATCTTCATAGTCGGGGACAATCAGATCTGCAAGAGACACCAAACACTCTTGCTCATGAGGCACAATCGAGTTTCCAGCCGATGATTGGCAAATCGGGGATCCAACCAACGGATCTCCGGAGTCTGGAACAACGGCGTTGTCCACCTTTGCATCTACCAACCATTTTTGTTCCACTTCGTCCATAGCACATGACTTTGCCATGAAGAATGTGGAATACGAAGAGGGGAAGATGGGTGAGTGAGGTCAATGGAGAAGGTGGAATACGTAAAGATGGAGCGGTGCGAGTGGGGTGAAGTAAATGGAGAAGGGGAATACGAAGAGGGAAGAAGGAAAGAGGTGGGGCGAAGTAAATGAGGGTAGCAAATACAAAAAGGTGGAATAGTGTGGTGGGTGGGAAAGGTAAATGAAGAGAGGTATGGATAGAAATTAAATGAGGGTAGCAAGGTCTTTTTGTGTGAATTTTATTTCCTAAAATAGATAGGAGACTTTTATTTAGGAACAACCCAAAAAGGAAACAAACCCTTTTATTTAGGGATGGAGGGAATAATAATAAAAATAACAATTCAAATGCTCTACTTATGGTTAAAATAATTGTTGTTTACAAAATGCGACTCCTACGTGTTACTGCCTATAGTGACAAGTTAGTATATATGCAAAGTGTCTTGAATAAGAGTAAAAAAATTCTAGAATGCAAAAATATGAGTAATATGTTTTTTGTCCTGAAATATGAGTCATTATTGATTGTTAGTAAATATTACTCACATTTTGAGGATAAAAGACACAGGAGTCTAATTTCTGAACTTTCCTAATTTAGTCATAGTAACTTATGTTCAACTTTTTTTAATTTTGACGTAATGAATTTAATGAAAACAGTGACTTAATCGTCCAGTCATTAACTCATGTTTATTTACGACTTGATTGCAAACACGACATAATCATTTAGTTAAACAATTTGACTTAATCATTAAGTTGAAATATAATACTTATTCCCATGAGAACGTCTTTTGTGTTATTTTTTTAAAAATCAATCATCGAATAGATTATAAAATGATAATAATTGAAATTTCTTATTGATTTGCAACTCAAGAGTAAAACTAAATTGATTATTTTTTCAAATGAGTATTACACCGATATCAAATGAACATATATAAATTATGAAATGAACAATGAAAGAAATCCAAAAGCTCGTTCAAAATGTTGTTCTACTATGCTCATAATTTCATTTGTGTATGCTCGTATAACTTAGATTTCTTCTAACCCAAGGCAAACAAGTGAACAAACTCATCAAACCTACATAAGAAAAAGAGAATAAGGAAAAGAGTGGTGAGTGCAAAGAAAGCAAAAGGGAGGAGAGGCAACTAGTGCTACACTCGGCGAATCAGCCGTCATTGCGCAAGCCGGAGTTTGAGGTGCTGCGTTCCTGTCGGAGGATTACAGGTGATGAGTCGTCATATGTGTACGGCGGCGAGCGAAGGGTGAGCAGCGAGAACGAACTGCGAACTGTGATGGAAGTTAGTGATCTGCGAACTAAAAGTCTGGTTGTATCGTGCGCACGGTACAACCGGTTGTACGGTATAATTTGCTACTCCTCCGCGAGTCCTCCCATCCATATATCATCTTCAGACTTTTTTTCCGTCCATCTCAAAATTATCTCCTATTCCCTTTTTGGTAAAGAATTTGTGATTCAAAAGAATCCTTACACATCTCTCTCATATGCTTAACTTTTCATTATACGATATCCATTATCTTAATTTTTGTGTCCGGTCAAATGGAGAGTTTTTAATTTTTTTTTATAGGGAGGGAGGTACTATAAATTAGCTTCTTTCATCGTAAGAGAATTATCAATCCGTCCAATCAGATTTCCTGTAAATTCAACATGAACTGTCCATATCGCAGTGCCGATATACGGCGCTTGTCCAGATATTTACCACGAGAGCGTTTGGCGGGAACTGGTCTCCCCAAGAAACTAGCATCAGTCGCTTAGCCCTAACCCGCTGTTACACTGTTAGTCCGTATAAATCTGGTCTGGATTTCATAAAAAAAAATCTGTTTCTAATTATCTCCTTTCAGAGGAGACCTACGAACATCCCCAGATCTCAAGGTTTAAACACCTCTCCGCCGTGATGAAGAAAACATCATTGATATTAAAATCTTTCTGTTGGTTTCAACTAATTTTTCTTCAAATTTCTTCTTCAGTCGTAGCTATCAGGTACTTGTAAACATAATTATCAACATCCATTTGGTTTATTAATCTGTGTAAAGTGTAAATATGCTACACATTGGCCTTCAACGTTTTTCAGGTGTAAGCGTGTTCTAACATTTCACTCAAGGTGCAGGTTGACCCCATTGGCAATTGCCAATTGGACTTCAATGCAAAACATGAAAAATTAATACATTGACCTTAAGATTACCAGAACTGAAGAACTTTATATTCGTATTTATTTTAGGATTATTAGCTTATTTTATCCCAAACTATCATCAAATTCACAAATCTATCGTATTCTTTCACTTTTAAAAAGACTCAAACTTCATCTTTTTGAACAATTATGCTTTTCTTTTTGCTTTTTCAAAATCACACATTTTATCAATACAAATAAGATATAAACAATACAAATTTGTAAACTTAAAACTAGAAAGAAGTGAAAAAATATGGAATATAAATATGATTTTCTTTTTATTTTTTACTAATTCATCCATTGAAAGTGTAATTGTGAGAAAAGTTGAAGTTTGAGTCATTTTTTAATAAAAGTGAAAGTATGGGATAGATTTGTGAATTAGATGATAGTTGGAGATATATTTAGCTAATAATCCTTCATTTTAATATTAATACTTCTATTTATTTATATATGTAATACTACATTTTTTTTATAAGAAAGATTACAAAATAGCATCTCAGTCAACTAGTGTAATTTTTGTAGAGTGTTTTTATGGAGACATAACTCCAAGTCACATAGGCTACTTGTTATCATCACCCCATTCATTTTCATAGTTCTAAGGAGTCATATGACTCTTGCAAGTTTGTTTTAGCATTTAAAACCTACTAAGGGTCAATCTGCACATGTAAGGACACAATAGAAGGCAAGGTTTGGAAAGGCAGGTTTAACTGTTCTAAGTCTTAAGACGTTTCGTGTATATGAGTTGCAGTGTAAGCCTTGAGGCGCTATGCGGCGTAACCCTCAAATTGGCCTGCATTTATATATAAAAGGTACTAGTATGTGAAATACTTAAATCTTATAAGCAAGACACACAAACAACACTCCCAACAATTACACTCCAGAATAATAAACACAACAGTGAAGCAAACAATGTTTGTTCATGTGAAAAACATATCTTAGGGTTTATATGACCTTAAAACTGGAGACTATATGATACAAAAGGCCTAATATAACTTTCATTTAGAAATTAGAAGCACTAATCCTAGGTCCCGGTCAATTTTCTTTGTAAATGGAGGCATAAGCCTCACAACAAATGCCTTGAGGCTTGAGGTGTAAGCCTCACTACATTAACTGGAGGCTTGAGCCTCAACTTGTCTCAAGTACCTCACAGGCTCACACTGAGTCGAGTCTCAAGAGGTGCCTCGAAGACGTTTTTTCAAGCAATGATTAGATGCGTATTGCACATTTGTGCCTAAAAACATGTCAAGGACCAATATTTACCTAGAGGCGAACAATAGAGTTAAGGACATATTTGCATCTTTTCCATAATGTAGTCCATTTTCTTAAACACTGCAGGCCAATAGTTTGGATTGTTGTAGTGTTATATTGTGGAAATATCTAATGCCCAATATTCATAATTAGCTTTCTATTTTTCTTGATTAATATAGATTACTTTCCTTGATGTTACATTATGGATTGTTTTGCGTTTCCTTTATTGCCTTACTGATGTTTATTTCTTACCAACTGTAATCTTTAGTTTTTATTGTAAAGAATATCAATGATTGATGTTATTTGTTGTGTTGTAGGAAGGATGTGAGCATGCAAAACAATCATATTTGTAGAACAACGGTACAAGGAAGATACTTGATAGCTGATGATAGAGGTATTTATTTTATAACCTACGACAAATTTTGTGATCTGTTGCTACTTCAGGTTCTGGTATGATTGATGAGAGTATATTTTTATCATAATGTGCTTACTTGTAAACTAGATACTTCATACTTAATTAAGGTGTGTGGCCTTTCATGCTATAACGAGGGATTCTTCATCATAATTTGTATATTAGAGTGATGTATATGATGAGGCCCCATTTGATTTTGGCTTATATATGTTCCTAGTCCTTGCAAATATTTCACCTTTTGCTTTAGGACCATGCAGCAGTTTTTTGTTTTTTACCCTTCAAAATATGTTATTTTCATTTTAGTCCCTAAGTCCCTAACTAACTCTGAAAAGAATAATTTCGCTCGCATACCCCTTCTATGAACGTTAGACATCAACTTTTTTCAACTTCTTAGAGGCTATTAATAAATGGTTAAAGTTAAAATGAAACTAATCACTCACGTTTTTAATACTCCCTCCGCCCCATTTATATTGTCCCAATTCCTATTTACTTGGTCAACACAAATCACTCTTGATTTCTTACTTTATATATCAAAAATTTATCAAATTTGATTCAGGTCTTTGCGCCTTTGTAAAGCTTTAAATGTAGTTTCTGAATATGTAATTTTTTTTTTCCTAAAAACAATTTGAGTGCGGACAGGGATCTGTTTGCTTTATTGTCGGTCCAACATCGTAAACCGTAAAGAGACAATATAAATGGGACGGAGGTAGTATATGCTATCTGAAATAAAACATGATTTTTAAAGATGAAATGGCGAAAAAGAAAGACCTAAAACTAGTCATATGTTGTATTTAACTATGACTCTTTCCATTATATAGTTGGAAATATAGGGACTGTTCTCTACTGAAAGTAGTAACTTGTAACCCACATTGTGCCTATTTTTTGGTATATGAAAAATCCACACTGATTAGGCCTGGTAAAACCCTACCTGAAAGGACCCGCCCGGCCTTAGTCTTTTGGGACGGTTCTTCCCCGCCCGTCATCCAAACAGGCAGGGTCAGACCTGACCCGTACACTAGTCGAGCGGGTAGTATTGACCCATGCCATCTAGGCATGCTCGACATGTTCCACCCAATATATATTTATTATTACTCTCTAGTCTCTCCGTGTTTTATTGTTTGCTTCATAACAAAGAAACACAAACATTTTAGTGAGTCATTTTGCTTAGTTCCATCATATTCCTAAGACAAAATTGATTTATGCCCAAATTCATCAGGTATTGGTGTGTATGTATTTTACCTTCATACCAAAACTATATGACGCAAGCATAAAGAAAGGGGTGTGAACTAAGCCTCCGACTTTATAAGATTCTGCAATTGGGCCCTCAAAGTCTCAAACACATTGGTCTTACAACTAAGCTTCTCAACTTGTCAAAAAAAAAGAAATTGCATTTGTTCACTTGAGATAACAGGTAGTCATTGTGTCCTCGCCATGCCTTGGCATCTGACACATCATCACTAGCTCACTTTTTGTACACATGTGCCGCTTGTCATGTTCTTCTTCGAATCTTCCCTCTTCTTTATTGTTTTTTTCTTCTTCTTTTCATGGACACCCTCATCTTCCATTTTTTCTTCCATGCCGCAGTTAGTAAAAAAATATCCAAGACTTATTCATCCTCTAAACTCACGTAAAGAATGCACAGTGAGAAGATTTCAAAATTCCACTTTCTGCAACAAAAGCTACAAAAAGTAGTATTTTCTTCACAAATTTCTGATTTACTTTGGATTCCCAAAATTCTCATAAACGCTATATAAAATAAAAATGCAGAAAATTGAATTCTAAGGCAATCACCAGAATAGTGAAAATAATAAATTGAGGATTCAACTATAATGGCCTTCTCTCAATGTACGAAATCCAAGTAGAGTCAAGAATTGGAAAATATTCCGAAGTCTAGAAAGCTCACCAGAGCCGGAACTAACAGAGTCAGCACAGGCCTTGAAATCCTGGCAGAGAGTGAGGCAGTGGAGTATTAAAATTACTGCAGTTTTCATGCGCTTGAAATTTTGGAATTTTCAAAATTGGTCGAAAGAAGAGAGAGTGGTTCTCTTTCCCCTTGGGCTTCCGGCCACAGACTGCTCACTGAGTTACTGTTCACAGATAAGAAGATAGGTGTAGTGCTCATTGCCCTCTGTCTACCCTGGTATGCTTGCTCAATAAAAATGAAGTGAAATAATACAAGAGAAGGATGAACTGTAAAAAGAAAGAAAATGGTAAAAATAATTGCATTACTGAAGAGTGCCGGTTTATAATAGGTAAAATTGGCCTAATTGCATTATTCTTTGAGGGGCCAATTGCTGAATCATGGAAGTTGGAGGGTTTATTTGACCTTTATCTCAAAAATATATTACATTATATGTTCGAATCGTGAAAGTTAATTTTTATATTGTACTTATAAATTTATACATACCGCAATGCTAAATACTTTGACATTACGTAATGATGCCGCATAAAAAGTAGCAGTATACCAAAAAATTGCTATAACAGTATTCATTGGTATGATAAGTACAGTAGATTAAAATTTTCAGATTCTTTCCAACCCAGAGCGTAATATGGAATATGTATTTTGTCTCTCCCATGTTTGAGTTTTTCAATGTTCTATTCTACATATATGCCAACAACAGCACTACTTATAGCCATTGATGCACAATTATAGGTCAAGTATGTGATGCCATGTCAGTTGATCCACAGTCTCGCTGCTGTAATGGCAAAGGAGATCAATTCTCTTGCCAGTGAGTCATTGTTTATGATGCCAAACACTTTTTTGCATTATGTGCTTACTTCATCTGACGCTTATATGTATGTTTTCTGAAAAGGGAATAAAAATTCTAGTTTTTTGTTTTTGTTTTTTTTGCTCTTGTAGTGGTTGCAAACTTCTCTCACAGTGCTGCAACACGTATGAATATTGTGTTGCATGCTGCCTGAATCCGTCTAGGGTAACTTACTACACTAGATCTCATTTTTTCCAAGTCTTGATAAAGATTACAGAAATATACGCTTTACATCTTATGTTTTTAAATGTGCCACAGACACCAGAGGAGCTAGCACTAAAGGTGAAGACTGCTAAGCCTGTAACAGCTGGTAAGTCTCTAACTGTGGTTGCACATAAAATATCCAACTTCTAGACGTTCTAGTATTATTAATTAATTTATAATGTATTTGAAGATAAATCTTTGCTAGCATGCCGGAGCTGGCATCTAACCTTATTCATTCATAATTCATTCATTCAGTCAAGGTAATCTAGAGAACCTTTTCTGTGGCTATGAAGTGTGCGTGCACACTTCATAGATACCACAAACTAGCATTGATAGTTGATCCTGTTCAGGTAAAGTAGTGATAGTAAACTTTGGAGTGTATGCACATGGCCATAATCTTTTCATTTACAAGATCAGATCAATATGATTAGCTATTTGGTGCACATATCATGCTTTTCTTCTAAATGTTATACCAAAACAAACAAAATCCTTCTAAGAAAAGGAAAAATGCAAAAGAGAACTTTTATGAACAATAAAACGATTTTCTGTTATGATGAAGTGTTCTCACTGTAAAATTTGTTAGGAGGGTAATTTTGAGTTATTGGAGGACTTCACACGTTTTTGTCGTCGTATAGACATATATATATATTTTTTGTATATGCCTTTTTAACAATTTTAATAAATGTTGCACATTATTTGACAGCTAAATATTCAAGTGTTTTTGAGTTCTGTGCGGGCAGATGTCGTCATAATTCAGAGAGTGTGGTGGGTATCTTTTTGTTTTCTACTATTGTATTAGTGGTCTGCGCTTGATTTTACATTGCGGTGTAGTCAAATTGAACAAGTCGGATATCATCTTTTATCTTTAAATGGGTGACTCTGTGGGAGAAATTTGGCTCAAGTGCTTTGTGCACCCATCATATTGCTTTTAAGTATGTAGTTTAGACTCCTTAATTTAATCATGATACCTGTGGGTTGTGGTCGACAAGGTTCTCATAGGCACATTTATCAGGTTTAAGCCACAGGCGTTTTCCATTTGTTAGGGAGGTGGAGGTCAGGAGGTGTAAGCCTGACGGCGGTTTGAGGCATGATGACAGCTCCTTGGGTATTGTACATTGAGAGTAGCTGAAGTTGATGTCTCCTTCGAGTACAGGGCACTGAGGCTAACACCCAAAGATTTTTTTCTTTCATTTTGACCTCACTTTTATGCGCACCTAATGGCTGTCTAGCTAGCACTGCCCCCCTGCTATCCATCTCTTACCACCTTCAAACCTCACAGTGGAGAATCATCTCATTTCACCACCTTCACTAAATCCCTAGACCCTAGTTCTGCCCCAACCACTCTCTCTTGATGTTTTTACATGTGCAATTGTTCACCTGCCCCCGTCACCTTCATGAGCCGTCATTACAGTATCACACGCCATCATTCCTAATCTGTGAGAAACCCTTTTCTTGCTTGTTGTTGCCTTGTCTTTGTCCAATCCAACACGTGTGTCATTTCGCTGGATAAAATCATAAAGTTGTTGAAAGCTTAACTATTCGTCATGGGAAACATCCATAGAATGATGCCTTTTTGGAATACGAAAATCGTGGGGCCGATATGTAATTGGGTAGACCCTACTACGGCTTCTAAACCCTGTTTTTTTTTTCCAGGATGGACACAAAAGGAGAATAAATTATACAGAATAAGACACAGGGAGCATAATTTATATGCTCTAGCCTGAGCCAACTCTAATGGACTTGGCCCATTTATGAAAATGATGAGCACCAATAGTAGATTATCCTACGTTAAAGTGTAATGATAGGGCTCTTTTTTATGTTATATAAGTAAATAGGGATCTTGTATTGTATTATCATCATATTTTTAACCTCTTCTAATCATCATAGTCATGATATTATTGATCTCGTTTTCCATTCTTCATATATCTTCCTTAAGTTTTTTTCTAGCACTTTTGTTTATTTAGGATTTAGGAAATAGTGTGAATGACAGACACTAAAACACTGTTTAGCGCAAAACTTAATTATATTATTCATTGGAGGCTTCAGGTCCATGAAAATGCATACCTTGGTGAATTTCATCATTGCTTCTCCATACCATCAAATTCCTCAGGTAAATACTGGACTTTATTCTTGCCGGTTAACTCTGTAATATCTTCTATGTGCTCTTAATAATATCGTAGTGTGATGCATCCACAGTGTGTTCTGAATTAATGGTGCCATGAAGCATTACATAATAGGGTATATCTTAGAACTTACTACCTCTGTCCCATTCAAAGGTTCCAAACCACTATTCACATGGTCAACTTAAATCATTCTTAATCTTTTGCTTTATATATCATTTCGTTATCAAATTTACAATTTTTATTAGGCTTTGTAGCGGTTATATAATGTAGTTTCTGAGTATGTAAATTTATTCATTAAAAATAATCAGTGTGAACAGTGATGAAGTTGCTTTATCGTCGGTCTAGCATCGTAAACCGAATCGGGAACCTCTCTATGGGACGGAGGGAGCAGAAGTTATTGTTCTTACCTTTTAAATTTTGAAAGATATTTAGCGCTTTTTTCCTATTGAATATATCATGCCATTGCTAAACTTGAACAGTATGTGATTACGATGCTATCTCATTTCCATTTTGAAATTTTAACGATTTCTTAGTTGCACAAAGATGTTTAAATACATAATTTATCACTAACAAATAAAGTGTTTAAACGGACAGTTGCATCATTTTTAGTTTAGGTATTCAGTTATTCCAGTGCATATATTTGAATGATATCTTGTTGTTTGTATGACTTAATGTATCATTTTGTATATGTATTTAATAGGATTTTCTGATCAGCAATTCAAATTACAATTGACCGGGATCAACATTGTCATTGGAAGGTTTGTTATTTTAGTTATGATTCTTCTGTGGTTTGGCTTTATTGACTGCATAACTAGTTATATTGTCTGCTATTTTGCATGGTGCTGGGAAAAAGGCGAGGGGAATCATGCGATTCGGCATGCAACTCAAGTGGTGAATCTTGTGTACCCAACAAACTACCGGTGCTTAATCACTGTGAAATGTGAGTTTTTTTTTTTTTTCAAAATAAAATATTTTATTAATAAAAGTAAATGGAAACTGGTACAAAGAGGGGAGGGCCAGACCTTAGCCTCTCATAAAAACACCCAAGTAACAAGAGCTAAAGGTAACAAGACCTTAGCCCCTTATAAAAACACCCAAGTAACAAGAGCTAAAGGTAACATCCAAGCCAACATAAAAGAGACCACACAAAATTACAGAAAGCATATCCTCCATTTATCATATCCTCCATTTATCATAAGAGAACCTTTAAACCAAGCAAAGAGACTTTCAAATTGACCAAAGAAAGAATATCCTTATTGGAGTAGTAAGCTTCAAAGGATCAATCCCGTTAACCTTCAAAAACCAACCTCAATGAATGTAAAAAAATGCCCGAGAAACAACCTGTCCGGAAAATACCAAATTTAAAGAAAGCCAGTGTCATAGTTTGAGAAGTGAGCAGCAAGCCTGGCACTCCTTCGTGGTTGATTAACATGACGGGATTTATTTTTAGAACAATAAACTTCACTGTCTGGGTGGTGAGTTTGTACATGTGATCTTAAATTCTTTCCACACTTTCACCTTGCTCTGTCTCTCTATTTTCCTCCGTCTGCTACCGTTCGTCTCACTCTTGTCATCCTTTACCTAGAGGCGTTAGTCTATTCAAGCTAGGGGAAGAGTTGTCATCCTTCCCCTAGTTTGTCATCCTCTCTATTTTCCTCCATCTGCCACCGTTCGTCTCACTCTTGTCATCCTTTACCTGGAGGAGTTAGTCTAGGGGAAGAGTTGTTTGAGGGTTGCATTCATCAAGACTTTTGCACTTTTAAAGTCCTTAAAATTTTGGCAGTATTCAGTTCAAACATTTAAAGAGTCTTTAAATGTTTGGGATGGCTGTCTTAGGCATATGATAAGAATAAGATGCATTTGATGTAGAAAATTGAAAGGATCATTTACTAGGTGCATAGGGATATGAGTTCAACGTTTCTATTTGTGGGACTTAATAGGGATATTGATTCCCATGATGATGCATCTTATCATGCATAACGTACATGATGCATATGCTAGATATCTCCTTAAATTTTGCAGGCATTCAGCTTAGACTTTTAACGAGTCTCCAAATGTCGAGTGATGCTTAAAGTCACACAACTTTGAAAATCATGACTAAATGTTTTCATTATTTCAGTGAAGGGTGAAATGCAACTCTCAACCCTGAAACTTTAAAAGTTTCTTTCGACTTATGGATGTTAACACTACTTAAAATATAGGGAGCATATTTCTCACCCGCTATCTAAATTCCACTGGTCTTCTCCCTTTTCTAATCCCATAAAACCCACCATCTCACCGGATTAAATAATTGAAAAAAGGCTATTGCTTGCTGTTTATGAGGCACGAGAAAGAGGCTCTTACTCCTTGAGAAATGATAGGCTTTCTGTAACATAAGTGAAGAGTTTATTACATAATAATGATATCGGTATAAATAGCCTTATGATACACATAATATAGGTTAAGGCCTTAATATTTCACAATCAGAGTGTATGTTGATATCAAGTACGAACTCATTTAGAATCACACTCTTTTATCTTTCAACTTTACGTCATTATATATTGTGTTAAACCTGATCTAATCTCTCTCTCTCTCTCATGAACAGGATGCAGAAACACTTGAGCTGTAAAGGTGGGTGCTTGGCAAGTATTGGAGCTGACCAACCTGCGGAAGTAGTTGATGATTCCCCTAGAGATCTGGTATAGTGCTCTACTTGGGCTATTTATTCTGCATCTCTTTTATTGTATGTTATGCTGCAACTTATATTCGCCGTATATGATCATTCTAAGGTGCTTTCATCGGAGAGGTATACAACTAGCTATGACTACATAACCTGCATGCTAAACTTGCAAATAATTTCCTTTTGAAGGACAAAATAACATAAAGTTGAAAAAGATTGTATGATGCCCTGGTTTATGGTATTTCTTGTGCAAAAAATCTGAATCAGATAGAAGTTTTTATTCTGGCATGTACTATATGAATGCAGATATGTACATTTTAGTCTTTGATGTATTTGTGACATGAAACATGGGGGAAAAAAGTGGCTCGCATCTCGCATGTTTAAGTAAATCTATTTGATCTGATCAGGTTGGTTTGTTTTGTCATCTAATGTAATCTGCTAATCATCAAATAAAACAATAAAAGCGGAATACTAGTGCATTTGTAATGGTTGTTTCTTGTTTATTTAGTGCATCTATTAGTCGATTACCATCAATTACCAAACAAGCCCATGTAATATACATCCTAACTAAATGCTCAACAGTGGATTTATACACGAATATGACAATGGATATTTTGATCCTTGACAACAATGGTAAATTGCCTACTAATGCTCCACTCACGAATTCTATTTACTGAGTACTTGCTCTGAACACCAGTTACCTTTGTAACATCTACAGAGTACAGAATATAATAATTCATACATTGCTGATATAGTCACATGAGCCATGGACTGCAGTATTTTTAAGAAGATGAAAAGAAGCCAACTGTCTAATTTTTTATATTGTTTCCTCTTGTTTTCCAGAATCCAGGGGCATGTTTGTACACAACATCAGAGTCTCTGCTATCCTGCAGCGGTTCTCATAAACATACAAGGAGGATTTGCCCATGCTCTTAGTGTTTTGTTCAGTAAATGTTAAAAATTATGTAATGTCGTTTACCTCACCCATTACGTTTGCTAGTTTTACTAAATTTTGACTGTGGCCTGAGTGACCAACCATATGAAGATATGAAGTATAGTGAATGAGAGGGAATACTCATCAATGCTATCTCCAGGAGTAAATATTTATCCTAATTGATTCATATACTTCTCGTGCATATATTGATGCGAGAGGACAAGTATTGAATCTCCAATTCTCCATAGAATCACGCTGGAACCTTTCATTTTTTTTAAATAAGGAACCTTTCAGAATATGAGCAGCAGCAGCAACAACCTTTCATGTCTTTGTGGAATATGAATGATAAAAGAAAATACCGATTAAACATATTACAAGAATACCTGTTGAGCAGTACTAACTACAAAGAAATGGTGATTTGGACAAACGCCTTAAATACTCCAATAAATAAATTGTACTACCTAAGTTCTATAATGTAAGATACATGTGAGTTTGGAATAGGTTATAAGAAAATAAGAGACAAAATAGATGTTTTACAATTCTAACTTTGAAATAAGTAACCAAAGACCTTGTTTCCTTAATATGTCAAGAAGACATGCTTGAATATGAGATTGTTGCGTCTCATTAAGGAATAAGTTGAGTAAGTTGTTGGAAGAATATAGTGTTGGACTCGGGCCGGGTTGGACCCGGGCCTAGGCCTGGCCGGGCCGCCGGTTCCGAATACGTGGGCCCGAGACCGGCCTGTCCCTCGGCTGGTTTTGGTTCGGGCCGGGCCACCCGCCCGGGTCACAGGCCGGGCTACCCGCCAGGCCGGGTCGGGTCAGATATAATTCCCCCCCCTTATTTTGCTACTTATTCATACAAGTGATGAATATTAAAAACAAACTTCAAGTGCATTTATTTGAAATAGGAACTACATTTGAGAATTGAGAAAAAAACAATATGAAATACATTTTCTAATAAATAATAATATATTTAAATAATTAATAATCAAATAATTAATTTGAGAAGTGCTACATATAAAAAAATGAACGTATATTTATTTGAAATATGAACTACAAGTTTACAAATTACAAATGAGAATTGAAGGATAAATTAAAAACATGAAATACATTTTATAATAAATTTTCTAATACTAATCAATCGGAATCTCCAGCATAGGTAGAGCCACCCTCGGTTGTTGATTCATCCATAAAGTGTTGGGAGGGGGTGATGCTCATTTCTTGAGCTCTACGGGCCGCCTTCAACCAATCGTGGTAGCATATAAGCGTTTCAAGAGATTCCGCGCTCAAGCTCGTTCTAGATTGCGTAAGGTCGTTGCCGGCCGAACTAAATTCTTGTTCCACAGCAACTGTTGAAATCAGCATTGATAGCACTTGCTTAGCCATCTTTTCTAAATCCGGGAACATTCTTTCTTTTCCCTTCTACCAGTTTAGAACGTCAAGTTCATCATCTTCTTCAAAATCAACGTCATAAGTTAAATACAAAGCAATCTCATTAATTGTGCTTTGTTGAGTAGCGGGAGTTGTTTTAGTTTTTTCATAAGATTGCCAAATGTAGATTTAAAAATTGATTTTCCTTTAGATGAAGATGTTTGTGTCGGGGGAGGGGACGCGTTGTCATATTATGCATGAAACTCATTAAATAAGGCATAAAATAATTCACTAACCTCGTTGTATTCTTTTTTCGCCTTCGTCATACATTGGAAAAGGACCAAAAAGGCAAGATAATTATACTTCAAACATTCTTCTAAAGAACCAAGTCTAAAATGAGGATCGAGAACAAATGCAATACCATAAATATGCGGAATATGTGCATTTTTTTTTTAAAAAATTTCCTTCATAGATTCAGCAAAATAACTCACGTAATCGGCAATCTCAAATTCATTAAAAGCACCGGCGAGATGAACAGCTTCACGAATAAAATGGTTTGAGGTAGGTTTATAAACATGACTAAAACTTTGAGTTGCATTAAAAAAAAAATATACCAAAGCATTGCAAATTTTTTCGCAGGTGTCGATCTCAGTCGAGTTTATAATATAGTTATCATATTCTTTTAAAAAAGTAGGAAAATGTTCTTTATATCTAAGAAGAACTCTAATTAACTTATAAGTACTATTCCAATGAATAGACAAATCTTTAGGAAAAGCCATATATTTCTCACCTCTTTCTATCACATATTTTTTCCATTTTAATTGAAGTTGACCACTACCCCAAATACGTCTAATCCCCCCCCTGACTACCTCCAAAGAACCTCCTAACGCTTTTAGACCGTCTTGCACACATAAATTTATAACATGACATGCACATCGTTGATGAAAAAATCTACCCATCAAAGTAGTAGAACCACATAATTCACGCAATCTAGGTATAGCAGCAGCATTATTAGTAGCATTATCAAAACCAATAGCAAACACCTTATCATTCAAAGTATACTCAATTAAAATACGCTCAATCAAAATATAAATATGTTGGACGGTGTGACGATCATTAAATTCACGAAAAGCAAGAACACGTTTATGCATATTCCAATCATTGTCAATATAATGTGCAGTCAGACCCAAATAATGTAAATTATGATAATTATCCTCCCATATGTCAGAACAAATAGTAACACGCCCATCAAAGTTTGCAAAAAAAATTTGTAACCTTACCTTTTCTGCTTTATAAAGCCTTATAATTTCTTTCTTAACCGTTTTGCGACTATAACCTCTATATTGAGGATTTAAACAATTTTGTGCATAATCTTTCAAAGCAAGACTTTCAGAAAACAAATAAGTCAAATTTTCTTCAACAAGTAAGTTAGTCATACCAGTCAAATTTTGTGTATCATTGTATTGGAAATTACCAAAAGGTTGTTGGTTATTTGCAAACCTCGAAATTTGAGTTTGCTTCCCCATTCCGCCGCCTAATTTTGCATACTCCACCAGGTGTTTGGCCTTAAGATGCCTTGAGGCGGATCCGTATCCGCCGGAAATTCCCAAGCTATAATTTTTCTTGCACCACTTGCAAGTTGCGTTCCAATTCCCGGTGTTCGGGTCTTTCCACTTATCAAAATTATTAAGCATTAGTTCGGATTTACTTTTTTTCGTACCTGTTTGGGATGAGGCAGCCTCGTCGGCGTCGTGGCTGCCGCCAGCCTCCTCCTCGGCCATCTCCTCCACATCGTCGTCCTCGAGCTCTTCTTCGTCAATGGTCGTCGGGTATTGTCCGTCTTGGAAAAAGCGGTTATTATGTCGGTCCAATTCTTGTTGTAGTTGCATGTCAGACATCGCATCCCCATCCCTCCTTTGGTAACCCGTATCAAAATCATCTCGGCTTTGAGATGAAGAACCGATATGTGATTTACCTTTGTGGGATTTCTTCCTCCCAATCTCGTTCGTTCGGTTGCGCTCGAGGTTACCCATATCAACCGAATATCTACCACGTTCCATCTAAAAAATGTACTCCCTCCGTCCCCCTAAGTTTGTCCCGTTTTACCTTTTCCGTCTGTCCCATACCATAGTACACAAGTAATGCAAGTAATTAAAACTATTTTAAATAATACTTCAATCTAACAAGTTTACTTTAATCAAATAAAATTCTAACTATTATTTATTGATAAAAACAATTCGAGTGAAATGTGAAGTACTTTAATTAAAAAATGTGAATTGAACTAGAATGTGAATATTGATAAAATGTGAGTACAAAGTTTATAGCAAAAATTAATTGAGTAATGAATTAACTAGTTTTTTTCATAGTTATTTGAACTAATCAATACTATTATTTAATAAATACTCAAAATTAACAATTAACTAGTAAAAAAAAGTACTACCTACTTTTTTTTACTAACAATCAAATTATTATAGTTTAACTTTAACTATAATGAGAATTAACTAGTTTCTTAACGTAGAGTCAAAGGTAGCAATTAATAAAAAATTGTAATGAAATAATTAACTACTTTAATGAAAAATTAAACATTTCGTGTGAATACTAATTAACTAATCAAGTAATGTTAATACAAAATTAAACAAATAAGACAAATGTATGAAAGTGTATACTAATTAATGGGAGTAATAGAATGAATTTAACTAATACTCCGTATTAATTAAAATGTAACTAATATATATGTAAGTATATATATATATATATACTTAATATATTAATTAGATGTAATAAAACTATAAAAGTAATATATTAGTAAAAATCGTGTATATATATATATATACACACACTAACTAATATACTTCGAATTAATTAGGTATAATTCCAACTATATTAGTAGATATAATAAATGTATAAGTAATATATAATATAATGTTTATAGTATATAATATATAAGTATACTACTATAAGATGAGTAATACACTTATATTTAATACTTTAATATATAAAGTGTATATTAAGTAGATATAAATTGTAATATAGGTAATATAAGTAGATAATAAGTAGAGATTAAGTAGATAAGGAATATAAGTAATATAATATATGTATTTAAAAGTAGATAATTAATATATAAGTAGATGTAACACCCCGATTTTATGAGCTTGTTACATTAATCTTTTATTTTATTTAGTCAGCTGAATAAGTTCATTTTATGAATAATGTGATTTATTATTTGATCATGTATTGTTATGGCAGGTAACGTTGACCGGTAAGCTCCAAAAATCATAAATGAATAAATAAATAGGGTTTATAGTTTAAACAGTTTATTTGTAAGAGAGTATTTTTTTAGCTGTGGCAGATTTTGTTTTTTTTTTTTTTTTTTACCAGACGGCCCAATCAATTATTGTTTGGCCTAAACCAGTCACCAATTTACTTTACTTAGGTAAATTGGACCTTTCCTTAGTTAAGATATAAAAGGCTCCCCAGGGTTTGCCCTTATCATTCTTGCCGTCAAATTCACAACCCTTCTACAGTGCTCAGTCAGTTTTACCAGTTTTTTTGACGAAAAGTCTTCTGGCCGTGTAAGTCTGGTTCTCTATCTTCGTCATTCAATGTTTTGTTTTCTTTGAATAGGGAGGGGATGGTCGCAGTTAAAGATTAGGTTTCACAGTAATTCCTAATCGATATAAATTTTGGGTTTTCAATTTTCAGACCATAGTTTGCAGCTTTTATCACAGATTTTGCTTAAGTAATTAGTTCTTCCTATTGAAATTTCATGCTTTGTAAACCCATTGTGCAGAAGTAATTTTGAGTTTCTATTGTAGGGTCATTACTCCGTATCTTTGATTTCTCCAATTCCAATTTGAGCTAGTTTGAAAAGTAGTAATGGGATTTAGTGATCAGTTTACTTTCTCCAAT